AAAAAAAAAAAAAAAAAAAGAGAGAGAGAGAGAAAATGAAAAGGTAAGGGATGACGTTAATTGGTACTATTTCAGGCACTGATGGATAAGAAGAGTAAAGTTCTTGAAGCAAAGAAGCCCCTTCGCTTTCTCCAAAGAAAACCAATCCCTCAACCTCGGCTTCCAACCCCAACTTTGGAAATGAATTCTAATGTAAGTCTGACACTTTTTATTGAAATGCCAAATTGATTATTGTGGTCAGTGTATTCTTAGGGCAGCTTGGGATGAAAGCAAATCTAATTTAACAGTGTTAGTTAGTCCTGAGTTCTGACTTAGATGTTGTCTTTATTCTTCTGTATCGAACATTAAACACACATACAAATAAGCAAAATGAAATCTAAATAGAATTCTTTTCAAGAATAAAAACATAAAGAATAAAATGTATTTCTGTGAAAAGTTGGCATCAGAAGGTAATGCTCATATATATCAAATAGAAAAACAAGGTTGAGGCCAGACTTGATGGCTCTGCCTATAATCCCAGCACTTCGGGAGTTCAAGGTGAGTGCATTTCCTGAGCCTACAGGTTCGAGACCAGCCTGGGCAACTTGGCGAGACCTCGTCTCTACAATAAATCAAAAGCCGGGTGTGGTAGCACGCACCTGTAGTTCAGGCTACTTGGAAGACTGAGGTAGAAGGATCGTCATCGGAGCCCAGCAGGTCATAGCTGGGTTGGCTGTGAGTGTGCTACTGCACTCCGGCCTGGGCGACTGAATGAGACTCTAACTCAGAAAAGAAAAATAACGTTGAATGGTGATTAGGTACCATAACTGTCTTTCCATTTGGGGAGGTGGCTGATGAACGCTAGAGTCAAAGAGAAACAAGATGCCAGAGGTATCATCTAGACAGGTTGGCTCCTGGTGTAGGAATGACTGAAAGGGGTCATCCTGACCAGGGCCACGTTTCACCCAACTCAGTGTGGAAAAGGCACCGAGTTGGTTAGGACCTAGAGGACTGACAGACTAAACAAATCCACAAGGAACTGCTGGAGATGCTGCAATGCAAGCATTTCACTTTACGGAGAGAAATTTGCCTGGTGGATAAGAATGACTCTCTTGGCTGGTCAGCACATTAATTCCCAGTATAGAGCAGTTCTCACAAGAAGCCAAGTTGTAATCTGAAGGTTGGTGTGTTCCTTGGTGGAGGCGGGTGTTGATGGGAGATGTCTCTAATGCCTGCTTCCACCTCTGAGGGTCATGGGCCTGGAGTGCTCCCCTTCTCTAGACCTTGTACAGGCCTTTGGTTAACACAGTGTCTTTCATATGTGGTAATGCCATCCATTGGACTGCTGCTTTCTTTTACATTCAAAGGTGTCTTGGTTAAATTTCCAGACCCTACTCTTTCTGCTTTAGAAATACAGTATTTAAGATGATTTTTGTAGATGGCTAATCTTGTCCATTATATTATTTATTTATTTTTCCTGAGTCAGGGTCTCACTCTGTCATCCAGGCTGGAGTGCATGATTATGGCTCACCACGGCCTCAACCTCCTAGGCTCAGGCAATCCTTCTTCCTCAGCCTCCCAAGTAGCTGGGACTATAGGCGCACTCCATCACCCCCTACTAATTTTTTGATTTATTATAGAGACGAGGTCTTGCTATGTTGACTAGGCTGCTCTCAAACTCCTGGGCTCAAGCAATCCTCCAGCCTCGGCTTCCCAAAGTGTAGGGATTGCAGGCATGAGCCACCATACCTGGCCCATTATATTCTGATTTTACCAGTGTAGCTAAATTCTTGTGAGAAGCACCTCATTCTAACAAAGACTAACTGTATTCTGTTTCTACTCATGATCCAATGTGAAAATGCTATTGCAGAAAGATGTTAGAAGCAATACTTGTTGCATCAGGAAAGATTTTGCTGGAAAGGAGTACAGGAAAAATGAAAATGTCTTCATTTTTAAGGATAGGGTGGCAGCGAATGAATTTTTTGCTCTTCATACAATTTGCTTTTGATGAAAAATAATAATGAATTTTAACGATACAGTAAGTAACATTAAAAATTGCATATGTTCCGTGAGGGCAGGGACCGTGCTTTATTTCTCTTTAAATCTTTTTGGCATTGAGCACAGTCTCTTTTGCTTAAAATAAGTCTTCAAAAGAATATCTGATGCTGGGACTGCTGCAGTTCTCAAGCTGCTTGATTCTCCCTTTGTTCTTTCAGGAAGAAGAAGAAATAGAAATGGCTGTGATCCACCTTCAAAAATTACTCCGGGGCAGAGTTGTTCAGAACATGGTGTGTAGGTCCAAACACTGACCCTGTGTTCCTCCTTTGAGAATAGTTTATTTTAGAATGCATATGTGTTTTGATTCCTTGGGGAAGAATTCCCTCCTGCACTCTGGTGTCCTATTCAGCTGAGCTCTTGAATTACCTACCTGCCCACTTCCTTTGAGTGCCATCATTTGTCCAGGTGGGTGGCACAGTGTCAAGGAGGGAGAGAAAGAGGACCTGCCTGCTGTTTGCCACAGTTGTAACCAAGGCAGCGTGAAACTCAGTTCTTCCTTGGAATTGCTAAATCTATACATTTTCTCACCTGAATTTTAACTATTAAAGCATCATAAGCCAGGTGGATTCCCCAATTTTTCACAAAGTCATAATACAATTATCTGTGTTTGCATATAGCTGACAGTATCTACATTATAAATAAAATAGCTAAATAATAAAAATTACAGTTCTGAACCCTTACTATATGCCAACATTATATATTCTCTGCTCTGCATATATCACTTTTTTTCCTATCAATAATTTCATTTTACAGATAAGTAATCTGGGTTTGAGATTTAGTTAACTGCCAGCAAATTCAATTCTGATATTCCTACTATAAAGCCTTAGCCAGATTATTTGTGTTGCCGGAGCAGACATACTTCATGTATAAAACGAACTAATATAAAGCCCCAGTTAATTTTTTCCCCCAAACAGCTATAACTCTTAAGAGACTCAGTTATGATGAGTGAGTCAGCTGGATGAGCAACTGTGTTCAGCACTATTTCTTACTCTCCTTTCAGTATTTCCCCAAGAGAGACACCACAATTAGCAGATTGTTTATTACAAACCAGGGGCAGATTTACTGGAAAAGAAAATATCACCATGAAAAATGCCACCCCAGGTTTCTTTTTTTAAAAATATAAGTGGGACAGGCAGATTGCGACTCCCAGGCATCCCACACAGTAGGCAGGTCACCTTAGGGGTTACCTTTACTCGCTCATAAATTCATCTCACATTAGCAGTGAGGATTTGGGCATTATCTTGAATCATTATTTTCCTTACCTATAAGCTTAACCTGGCATATTCCAGGTTTCTTGGGGCAGAAGCACAGGAAATGAGGGAAAGGTTCTAGTTTCTGAATATGACCCTATAGCTGTCACCTTGTCTGTGAGAAGCAGTGAGTAAACAGTTCACTGAAAATTAAGCCCATTTGCTGCCTGAGCAGCTGAAGGCACAGAAAAGAGGGCTGGACTCCCGCTATGCGGAACACATCTGCTCTGTGGCTCCCAAAAGGCAGAACAGAACCCACCATTCACAAGTGTCACACAAGTCACTGTGTGCAACTCCTCATGCTTGGCACAAAGGGATGGTAACTTACAGGTCTTTGATTTGGTTTGATACAGATGTTTGAAGGCAAAGAAAAGCGACTGGAGTTGATCCAGGAGTTGCGCACCAGCCATGCCCTGCAAGAAGACGAGAAGCTGGTGAAAAAAGCCGAGAAGCAAGTGACCCTGGCCTTGCAGCGACAGAGAAACTTGCATGAGCACAAGGTTTTTCCTTGCTTCTCTTGTTACTTTCTTGTTACATTGCCCTCCCCATTTTTATTATTGCACTAGCAACATTCTTATAACAATAAATGAAATGATAAAAAAGAAACACTCCCACAGTCCCCCCACTCTATCAGCATTCTTAAACAATGCTGCTGCAGTCTGCAATTTGACTGGGGATGTGCCCTCGCTGAATTGAATGTGGTGCTATTTTCTCTATTTATAAAACAACAACAAAAACAAAAAATATGTATTTATTCGACTTTAAGATTTTTTTCCCTTCTAATTGTTCTTAAATATTTGACGATGGCTGTATTTCAGAGGGTTTAGCAGAATGAATAAGTAATACAAGCAATGTGAAAAATGAGATTTATTTTAAAATATCAGCACTTACCTTCTGAGTTTTAGAGCTGTATGTAGTTCCATGGTGGTTAAACTGCATATTAAATATGTTACTGACTGCTCTTTGGTGACTTTCATCATGATCTCCCGGCCCTGTGTCACCTGACACAGCTAACTCTAGCTCTAAACCAGCAACTGTTGAAGTTTTTTCTGTTCTCTTCCAGTGTTTGTCTGTAGATGCCGCTTTTTAATGTTGTTAACTATAGTGTAGATACACGCTTACTTCCTCGTCCTCTTTTCTGTAAGTCAATCTGAAACAGAATCAATTTGCCCAGAGTTGAGTGTAATAAGGAAGTAATACAGCAAAGTTAATATGACCCACCTTTGGTAACATGCACAGTTGTGCTATTTGGGAGTTGGGCACAACTGGCTAGCAGCTCAGAAATGACCACAGCTTTATGTCTTTTACACGACAGCAGTGCTAGGGATGGTCGCTGAGCTTGGGGACCTGTGGTGGGGTGGTGGAGAAGGAAACTGCTGGCCATGAGACCTAACAGAGGGACCAGAGAAAGGAAAGGAGAATGTGAACACTGAAGTCCCTGGATCTGGAAGTCCTGGCATCTTGGACATATGGGAGCAGAACGTCCTGAAAGCATTAGGTCCTGAGACTCTGGATGGAAAAATGCCCTCCTTGACCCTTTGTAGTTTCCTATGGTGGCCTTGGGCTGATGCAACTAAGCCAACACAGTCTTTTCAACTCATTCATTTAGGGGATATATACATGATGGAGATATGTCAGCTGAGTTAAGAGAAGAGTTAAGGGGAAAGGCTGTCACTTAGCCAAGGACTCAATCCTCTTACCTTCGGCTGTTCCTGGACGCACCAATAATTTGCAGAGGTCTGAGAGAGTGTACATCTCACATGTAGCTACAGCAATGCTGCTCCCTCCTCTCATGCCTCTTTCGTATTTCTATGGAAAATGCACACTTCCCAACTTGCAGTGCATTACATGATATGACTGCAGCAGAATCATCTTCCTAAATATTTTTTCTTAATTTAAAATTAGATTGTACTACCTGAGCATACTCAAATTTCTTGCTGAGAGAGGAGGCTAGACATGAACAGGTAGCCATCTCAGGATGTTAAATAAGGATTGCATCTGACCCCAAAGTAAGAGATTTTATGCTCCCCAGAGACAAGAAGAGAATCAGTTTATGGTCTCTGGGCTAAATGTCTACTGTTTATGATAAAATGGAAGGAGTAGTAAGATACTTTAGCTTTACCCTTTCTTTCCATCTCTTCCTGTCCCATAAGTACAGTTGAACTTTGTATTAGAAAATGTGTGTGAGCTAGGAGGGGCGCAAGAATGAGGATGGGAGAGCTGGGGCTAACAACTACACTTGACTGACAGTTTCACCCATGGCCACTGAGACCTGTGAGCATTCCTTCACTTCAGATACAAACCAGGAGGGAAACTGGGCACAGAGGGAGAACTGTCACCATTAAAGTCACATATGACTGGCAGAAGAGCCCTTGCTCCCTGTACGTGAGGATAGGAGAGGGAATGGGGTGAGGTTGCAAAGGATAAATCATCTTAAACTACTTTTCTTCTCCATATGTCAAAGCCAGAACAGGAATCCATAAATAGGTGCTGTGGCTTACTCCTGGCTAAGAGCACTATGGGTCCCTTATTTTACTCAGTGATCACATAGACACTTTTTTTCCTGTGCTGTTTCAAAGATGGCTGCTAATGGCTTTGAAGTTATTAAAAGACTAAAAAGTACCAAGGTTTTCTACTTTCATGTTATTCAAGATCTTAACCTCAAACTTGTGTGAAAGGACAGATACTAAAAAATTAAAAAGTATCATTAGTGAATTTCTAGGAAATTCTATTTTATTAAATTCTAATATTATCTTTAATGAAAACCTTGACATTTTCCTTCATGTCTGGGAAGACACACTTTGCCTTCTGGATAAAATTGGAAGAAAAAAAACCATTCTGTGTGGTTGCTCACAGAAATGTCTTGCTAAATCCTCTTCATAATTTTAAGATTATGATCCTTCAATGACCAACTAAACAGTCTAGTTTCTCATGCCCGAGTTTTACTAGTAAGGACCCTTATGATGGGGCCCATCTAGAGGCAATATTCCTAATAAAACACAGAATGCATTCTGAAAGTGAATTAATTGACTCAAGAGTTCCGAGCAATCCAGCACCCCGCCGAATAATCACTGCTTCCCGTGGAATTTATATCCTTAAAGTTCTGTTATTATTTTCAAGGTGTCACTGGTTGAAAACCATTTGGCTGGGCTGGAAGGAAGGGCACTGGCAGACATGTTTGACTTCTTGTCCAAAGAGCTGGTGAGGCTGCAGGAAGAGAGGAGGATCCATGCCTTTGCCATGCTGGCCGAGCGCCAGCGGCGGATGCGAGAGGCTGAGGAGAGTGGCCGGCGCCAGGTGGAGCAACGGCGCCTGCAGGAGGAGGACCAGATATTTAAAGAGGCAAGTGGGGGCAACTGGTGTCAAGCCAAGGGACACTCATGACTAGAATTGGCCTTTGTGTTTTTTCATTTATTCCACAGATATGCATTGGGTTCCTACTGTATGCCAGAAACTGTGCAAAAGTGTGTGGGAAACGTTGGAGGAACAAACCCAGACATGGTTTCTTCTCTGCTGTAGCTTAAACAACATATAACATGCACATAAACAACATATAACATGCACATATGTACAGAATTAGAAACTATCATGAGTTCCACAAAGGAAGGGGATGGGGCCCAGAGACACAGGTTTACTCTGCTTGCTGTATGGAAACAGGCTAGAGGGAGGACAGAGTGGAAACAAGGGGGCCAGGAAGGCGCTGCTAAGTCGTCGAGGCCAGAGTAAGAGATGGGGGGAAGTCGAGTGTAACACCTAGTGTCAGGTGAAAGAAACTGGACGATGATGGCACCATTTTTTGCTGTAGACGAGTTGAGAGAGGAGTAGGTTTAGGGGCAGGGATGAAATCAGGGATTCAGTTTATATGTAGATTGAGACAACTAAGTGGAGGTGTCCTGTCAGTAGATGGATATACAAGATGGAATTTAGAAGAGAGGTTTGGCTGAAGGTATACATTTGGGAGTTAGTGTGTACCAGTTAGTGGTTAGAATTCTGGCCAAGGCACAATGGATGTGAAATTCCAGAGTAACCCGATGCAAACTCAGAGGAAATTCTAGGAACCTCCAATATGATATCTTAATCTCTGTCACTCTCATCAAGAATACAAAATGTCAAGTGTTAAAATTGGAGATTTGTGAAGATTTCTTTAAAGGGAACACCGAGAAATATTGGGGGGATGCTTCCCTTTTCCCATAGTCAAGCAAAAGGAGCTTCAGTGGCACCACCTGGGAACATATCTGTCTTTTCAGGGTGTCTGACCCCCTAGGGAATAGAGGAAGCGATGTGGGCTAGCTGGCTGTGTTGGAAGAGGGCATAGAAGAGGCTGCAGGGGCGGTCGGCATGCCCAGAATATGCCAAGGCTGGGCTGTGTGAGCATGTCCCTGGACCAGATGGGAGAAATTAAAAAGGGCCAGCCAAAAACTTTAAAAAATTTCTCTCCAAAATGGCTGTCTGAATCTATATATGGATACGTTTGTGCTCCTCTGGTTTGAAAAAAAAGTATACATATAAATGTATATGTATGCTATGTCAATTTTTTTGGGGGGGAGTTGGAGTCTCACCCTGTTGTCCAGGCTGGAATGCAGTGTCACACTCACGGCCACCCCAGCGTCGATCTGCTGAACTCCGGTGATCCTTCCACCTCAGCCTTCTAAGTGAGACCTCGTCTCTACAGTAAATCAAAAATTAGCCAGGTGTGCTACCACGCCTGGCTAATTTTTGATTTACTGTAGAGACGAGGTGTCACTAAGTTGCCAAGGCTGGTCTCAAACCCGTGGGCTCAGGCAATCCACTCGCCTTGGCCGCCCAAAGTGCTGGGATTACAGTGGTCTGAAATTTTAATGATTTATCTGGTTTCTATGGAATTAGGATTAATCCATGGACAATATTTGGTGTGTGTGTGTTTTGTGTAATCTAAAAGTTTTTATTAAAACTATATACAGCTTATGAAGTTTAGGGTTCTCCATTGTCAAGTTCACGTTTCCAACTAACAGCATCGCTTAACAGTGGGGATCCACTCTGACAAATGAGTCATCAGGCATTTCTGTCATTGTGCAAACATCACAGAGCATATTTGCATAAACCTAGATGGTGTAGCCTACTGCATACCTAGGCTTATGGTATAGCCCATTGCTCCTAGGCTTCAAACCTGTACAGCATGTTACTCTTCTGAACACTGTAGGCAACTGTAACACAATGGCAAGTATCTGTGTCTCTGAATATAGGAAAGGTACAGTAAAAATATGGTATAAAAGATTAAAAAGCAGTACACTTACTGTGTAAAATGTAGGACATTACTGTGAATGGAGCTTGCAGGACTAGAAGTTAGTTGCTCTGGATAAGTCAGTGAGTGAGTGTAAAGGCCTAGGACATGACTGTACACTCCTGTAGACTGTATAAAAAACTGTCTGTACACTTGGGCTACACTAAATTTATTTAAAATTTTTTTCTTTCTTTAACAATAAAGTAGGTCAGGCATGGTGGCTCATGCCTGTAATCCCAGCACTTCGGGAGGCTGAGGTGAGAGGATTGCCTGAGCCCACGGTTTTGAGACCAGCTTGGGTAACATGGTGAGACCTCATCTCTACAATTAAAAAAAAAAAAATAGCCAGGCATGGTAGCACGTGGCTGTAGTTCCAGCTACTTGGAAAGCTGAGGCAGAAGGATCACCTGAGCTCAGCAGGTCGAGGCTGCCGTGGCCGTGAGCATGCCACTGCCTTCCAGTCTGGGTGACAGAGTGAGACTCCAACTCAAAAATTAAATTAATTAATTAACCTGAGCTTACTGTAACTTTTTTACTTTATAACCTTTAAAATTAAAAAAAAGTTGACTCTTTTATGGTAACACAGCTTAAAACACAAACATATTGTACAACTGTACAAAAAGATTTTATTTCTTTATATCCTTATTCTATAAGCTTTTCTCTATTTCTAAAATTTTCTATTTTTTTTTTTCTTAAATTTTTTTTTTTGTTAAAAGCTAACATACAAACACACACATTAGCCTAGGCGTACACAGGATCAAAATCATCAATATCACTGTCTTTTCCTCCACATCTTGTCCCACCAGAAGGTCATTGGGGCAGTAACATGCATGGAGCTGTCATCTCCTATGGCAACATACCTTCTTTTGGAATGCCTCCTGGAGGACCTGCCTAAAGCTTACAGTTAACTTTTTTATTTTTTATAGGTAGATGGAGTATACTCTAAAATAATCACAAAAAGTATAGTATAGTATACATATAAACAAGTAGCACTCATTTATCATCAAGTATCATGTGTTGTACATAATTCTATGTGCTGGAGTTTTATATGACTGGCAGTACAGTAGGTTTGTTTATACCAACATCACCACAGACATGTGGGTAATGTATTGTGCTACGATGTTACAAGGGCTATCATGTCACTAGGTGTTAGAAATTCTTCAGCTCTACTATAATTGTATAGAACCATAGTGTCATATATGGGTCCATCATTGACTGAAACATCATTTTTCTAACTTCCTATCGTTTTGTTTTTTTTAAAGACAGGGCCTAGCTCTGTCACTCAGGCTGGAGTTCAGTGGCATGATCATAGCTTACTGTAGACTCGAGGGCTCAAACCATCCTTCCACCTCAGCCTCCCCAGTAGGGAACTGGCTGGGACTACAGGCATGTGCCACCGCACCTGGCTAATTAAACAAGATTTTTTTTTTTTTGTAGAGATGAGGTCTCGCTATGTTTCCCAGGCTGTTCTTGAATTCCTTGCCTCAAATGATCCCCCTGTCTCATCCTCCCAAATCACTGGGAGGCCACCATGCCCAGCCTTCAACTTCCTTCTACCTTAACACACTTTTCTTCAAAAAGAATTACTGAGTTTTAGAAATTATTGGCAAGCCATTACCTAATATCACTCGGCTGGGGATGGGAAGAACTAACTGGGGGTAAGAATAAAAATAAATGGAACAGAGGAACAATTGTACTCAAAAACAGAGGAAGGAAAATGCTGGTAAAAAGCGTCATAGGAAAGACTCTCCTAGTGAGAATGATGCCAGAAACACCAGGTCTGTCTAGAAAAAGCAAGAAGGGGTTAAGATAACCCTTCTAACCTGATATAAAGTCCACTTTTGTTTTTAAAAAAATGTATCCAGCTATGGACCCACAGCTTCAAATACTTACATTATTTTAATTCCCAATCTCCCTAGTTAAAATACAATGACTAGTTTCCTTCCCCAACCTCCATTCATACAAACCCTCTTGAAGATAAATGTTTGTTCATAATATACAAAAAGACAAATGTATCTAATAAATTTCAAGAAAAAAATAACATATAGAGAATGAGAAACAAGATACAGAGAGTCACAAACTCATATATACACATTTTTGCAGGCACATACACAAAGACACAGTCACAAATACAATCCAGTGTGCTCAATATTAGCAAAGACATGGAGAAACACACATAGACACACATATAAGCCTCCTATGTTTTCTTGGTCACTCATGCTTCTGGTATAAGCACAAATGTATTCAGAAGCTTACACGTTTATTTTTTATTTTTTTAAGTTGGAGGCTCACTCCATCACTTAGGCTAGAGGCAGTGGCACATTCATGGCCACCCCAGTGTCGTCCTGATGGCTCAGGTGATCCTTCCGCCTCAGCCTTCCAAATAGCTGGAACTACAGGTAGGTGCTACCACGCCCAACTAATTGTTTGATTTATTGTAGAAATGAGGTCTCGCCAAGTTGCCCAGGCTGTTCTCGAACCCATGGGCTCAGACAATCCCCTCACCTCAGCCTCCCAAAGTGCTGGGATTAAGGCTTGAACCCTGTGCCCGGTCAGTTTACACATTTATAAAGGGATACATAAACACTCAGGTACGTATGTTACTATGGGTAGACCACAGTTAGCCTCTCATGTCTCTGCCATTATACCACTCAGCTGTCTAATTGTTCCATATTGATACAACTTGCTTCCTGAGTAGAAGGGTGGTCTGGATGAGAGCAGGCATGTTGTATATTCCCTTCACCCCTTCCACAACACCAGCAGAGATCCCTGTACATAACAGACATTCAGCAGACATATTGTGATTGGTTGGGTGTTTGGTTGGTGCTGTACTAAACTGGTCATGGAGATTCCCAGAGAGAAGGCATAGGAATTCAAGGTTGGTGTTTTACAGGCAGATATACACAGTAAGTATAGACAGTAAGTATCACGCTCTCAGTTGTGCTGAAGTGGCAGTCAAGAAACAGATGCTTAACTGTTAATGAGCCCCAGGCAGGATCTCAGATACAAAGATATATTCAGACATGAAACAGAAAAGTGCCCAAGTAGCTCATAGTCTGTTGAGGAGATAGCACTTATATACATGCAAAGCTACGTGTGCTGTTGTTGATGCTCATGATACTTTCTGTGTATATACCTGTGAAACAGGCAACAGTAACCTATGTTGCTATGGTTACATACTTAGGGAGCAAAATTATAAAGAAAAGAAAGTGTTTACCATGAAAGTCATGAAAGCAAGAAGGCGCCGTGGTCAAGAAAGACCCATGGTGGCCTTCTGAGATACTGGCAGCGACGATGTGGGTCTGGTTTTGCCCTAATTAATGACACTGTACATTCATGTGCTCTGTACTTTTAAAACTCTGCATTCTATTTTATGATTTCAAGAAAGCTTAAAAAAGAAGCAGTCCATTTCTTTTTTCTTTTTTGAGTTGGAGTCTCACTCCGTCGCCCATGCTGGAGTGCAGTGGCACACTCACGGCCACCCCAGCATTGATCAGCATCCCTCCACCTCAGCCTTCCAAGTAGCCAGAACTACAGGCACGCACTAACACACCCAACTAATTTTTTTTATTTTTATTTTTTATTTTATTGTAGAGCTGAGGTCTTGTCATGTTGCCCAGGCTGGTCTCAAACCGTGGGCTCAGGCAATCCTCTCACCTCGGCCTCCAAAGTGCTGGGGTTACAGGCTTGAGCCACCGCACCTGGCCAGCAATCCATTTTTGGTATGATAGTTTAATAAATTTATCAGAGACCAAGGCTTGTTCTAGCTTTCTCCTGTCCTTAAAGCATGGCTCTTGCACCAATTTAACATCATGACTGCTGGTGTTCCAGCACTATGTTTCCATGAAGTGAGAAATGAAAGGTGAAAATTCTGTTTAAGAACCCTTTCTGAAGTTGCACGTGCTACTTCTGCATATATTCTCTTGGTCAGAACTTTGTCATATGGCCATGTCCAGCTCCTATGGGTACTAGGAAGTATAGTCTTTATTCTAGACACCTGATTGCCTAGCTAAAATTCAGGCGTTCTATTATTTAAGAGGAAGGAGAGAGGACAACGGAAAATAACTTCTAGTCTCTGCGGCAGTTAGGTAGTGTGCTACCTAAGTCACACTGCTGGTAAGAACCAGCCAGGATCCAGCCAGTGTTATTGACCCTCAAGCCCATGACTTTTCTGCATTGCTGTGTTGCCCTCCCCCTAGGAAGATCTGTAATTCTTAAATGGGCTAAATGGGTGGGGGTGTCCAGATTGTGTAGGTAGGTGGGTAAGAAACAGATTGAGTAGGTGGTAAAGAAAAGGAATGACCAGTAAAGGGACTATGATTTCATGAATGAAATACATGTGCTTAAAAAAAAGTCAGTGTTTGTGTATTCTTCTTGTCATGTTTACAGTAGTATTCCTGTTCTCAGCAAGTAGGGGTATTTTGCTTTTTGTAGGTAATTAAAGTTCACCAAAGTACTGTAACTTCCTATCTGGAAGACATAATATTGAACACCGAAGAGAGTACTGCGGAAGAACAAGCCAGGGCAGAAATTGAGAAGATGGCCGAGGAAATCAATGACATTGCTTATGAAATGGAGAGCCGGTATGTGTCAAGAGCACAGTTTGTAAAATGTGACAGCCCATTTGCTGGTACTCACATATATTTTTTCAAGAGCTTAAGATTTCACCATCAAGGAGAAACAAATATATAACTCGTGCTACAGGATCCATTATTTTATTAGCATAACTCTTTAGAAGCCAACACCCCATACTTTTATATGGCAGGAACATGGGGATTGTATTCTTAATTATCTTCCTTGGTCTGGATTACTTTCTTTCTTTCTTTTTTTTTTGAAAGCAGGATTTATTGAGAGGACAGAAAAGCTCCTACAGTGGGAGGGGACCCGAAGGGGTTGCCCTGGATTACTTTCATATTACCTACTTTAAGAATACTCAGAACATGAAAGTAGTGTGAATACGTGTGTGTGATATTACTTGAACTTTATCTCAAAGTGCTTTGCTTTCATGTATAAGCTGTATTTCTAACCTTCCCTTCCTAGCGGGCAGGGTCAATGAAAGACAGAGTCAAATCCAGATTCTCCACGGAGCTTAACAAACTCGCCAGGAATGTGATATTTCAGATCACTTAATCTAGGAAAAAGTGGTGGTGGAATTTGAGCAGTAGAGTTGCCTGCACAAGCCAGGATATATAAACAGGCAGCTCAAGTAAAGAAACTAAGGAGATCGTTAAATTTGTTTTTTATTGTTTTAGTCGAACTTTTCGTCAGTCTGAGGAGGTTGTTGCTGAGTTGGTTTATAGTTTTCTGATCCCAGAGGTGCAAAAGGAGTTTGTCAAAGAAAAAGGTAAGCCAATGTAAATGCTTTACTTTAAAATTTTTTAAAAAGATGTGAATTACTTTCAATATCTCAGAGATTTAAAACTAAACCGAGGTATGGGGAAATCACTGAAGGCGAATCACTGAGCTTGTCGAGTTCTCTCTTCATGCTGTCTGATTCCAGAGTATAATCATCTCTGGTATAGATGGGATGCAGCTCTAATTAGTGTGACAGAGTATCAACATCCAAACTTTCTTTAAAAGGAAGTTTCCAAGTTTTCAAATGAGGTATATTTTTGTGATTAAACAAAAAACATAAAGCAAATGTTGGGAATATAAAGGCTTTCACACTGTTGCAGCCTTTTGGAGGCAAGGCACGTGAACTGTGGGTGTTGGAAGGCAGGGATGCTGGGAGGGTCTAAATCTATCCTGCTGTTCTGCCTGTGCCCTGAATAGCTTGTTTCTGCTGGGACTGCATCCAAATATAAATATTCTAATTTATCATTTGTCGCAAGTAGTGTGTTTTTAAAGATTGATGCTTTTAGTCAATAGAGAAGGAGGAAAAAATGTCTTTAAACAAAAAAGAACTCAGTGCAATGGCTCTCGCTTATAACCCTAGCACTTTGAGAGGCAGAGGGAGGAGGATTACTTGAGCCTGGGAATTTGAGACCAGCTCGAGCAACCTATCAAGATCTTGTCTCTACAAAAAAATTAAAAAGTTAGCCAGGTGTGGTGATGTGTACCTGAAGTCCCAGCTACTTGGGAGGCTGAAGCAGGAAGATCGCTTGAGCCCAGGAGTTCAGAGCTGCAGTGAGCTATGATTGTACCACTGTACTTCAGCCTGGACAACAGAGTAAGGCCCCAGCTCTAAAATTTAATTTAAAAAATAAAAATAAAAAGAAGATTCTTTTGTAGCTCTGAGACTATTAGTGGCAGGCCTTATCCCAGAGGGAAGGGTGAAAATTAGGTAGAGAATAATATTTAAGTGAAACAACAGTTCAGAAGCCTCAGAATTCTGCACAGGTTTAAGCAGAAAAGTACAAAATTTCAGATCACTTAATCAGGAATAAAAGGATGGTGGAGTTCTAACACATTTGGAAAGGGCAAGGAAATCCCACTGCATGGGTGTAGTGTAATAGTCAAGCCAATACCCTCTAATGATAAGCATTTAGCTTGTTTCCAATGTGTTTTCCTATTACTAGCAGAGTTGCACTCAATATATTTAACACTTATCCTGACCGTGCTTCTGAGAGTAAATTCCTGGCAGGACAATTGCTGGGATATAGTATCTATGCATTTTACATTTTGATAGGTACTACCAGATTGCCATACAAAAATATTGTTGTCTTGCATCAGCAGCATTTGGTAGTGCCTATACCAACATTTAATTTTCAGATCCAATAATATATATTTCTGTGTTACAGTGTAAGAAAGACCTTATATTTTTCAGATCCTTGAGAAAATATGCAACTCCTTTCCACTTCTCCTAGGTCCAAAGTGTGGCCAGCCTGCTTCAGAGCCATCCCACCTGGGGGAAGTAAGGGGAAAGGGGGAACAGTGGGTCTGAGATCTCCTCCCCCAATTTCTCCTGGCTGTGCGAGGGGAGGATGTGGGGGAGGACAGGAGTGAAGGAATCCAGCATGACTTGGCTGTGGGCATTTGGGCGAGTCCTCAGCCTCTTCCCTTTACATTTCTGCCAAACCAAAAAAACCCCATGTGAACAGGGAGCACACGCTAGGACCTTTTGTTTCTTTTTTCAAGTAAAAAAACGATATGCATTATATACATTGTTTACCCCAAATTCAGGTAACATACACGGGCATTTTGAGATACCTCACTTTTTAAAAAGCTAATGAATCAGAAGGACCTTAAAGAGAACTGTGTATAAATATAAAATAACAGTAACTGCCATTGTTTTTTTTTGAGTTGGATTTTCACTCCGTTGCCCAGGCTGGAGTGCAGTGGCACACTCACAGCATCGACCTGCTGAACTCCAGCGATCCTTCCACCTCACCCTTCCAAGTAGCCAGAACTACAGGCGTGCACTACCACACCTGGCTAATTTGTTTTGATTTATTGTAGAGATGAGGTCTCGCCAAGGTGTCTGGGCTGGTCTTGAACCTGCGGACTCAGGCAGTCAACTCTCCTGGGCCTTCTGAAGTGCTGGAATTACAGGCTGAGCCACCACGCCCAACCTGCCAAATTTTAAATGTATGTTAAGTTCCACACAGTGCACTAAGCATTTAAAAATGTACATTATCCCCATGTCTTACAACAGCTATAGATGTGTTCTCATTTTTCAGTTAGGTAACTTAGCACTTGGAGACATATGACTTGCAGATTTGAACTATGGTCTGTGTGGTTCCAAAAGCCTCCCCACCCCCTTTTTAAAAAAATTTTGAGTTGGAGACTTGCTCTGCCACCCAGGCTGGAGTGCCGTTGGCAGTATCACAGTTCACAGCAGCCTCAACCTCCTTCCAGCCTCCTGAGTAGCTGGGACTACAGGTACACACCACCACGCCTGGCTACTTAAAAAAAAATTTTTTTTTGTAGAGATGAACTCTCACTATATTGTCCAAGCTGGTCTCAAAGTCCTGATCTCAAGTGATCCTACTGCCTTGGTTTCCCAAAGTACTGGGATTACAGACATGATCCACTGTGCCTGGCCCAAAGCACCCACTTTTTCAACCATACTACTGTGAAGTGCTGAAAACTACTATGTGAATTACTCTGTCAAAACTGGTTGATACCCAAAAAGCAAAGAATACACAGTGCTTCTTATAGTTCTTACTAGCTGTATGACTTTGGGTAAATTACGTAATCTCTGTGTCTATGTTTCTTTTGAAAATGGTGATAGTAGCAATACTCTCTTTTAGGATTGTGGGAGGGTTAAATGAATAATTATACGTCAACTGTGTAAAATAGTGCCTAGTATAAAAGAAAAACGCTAACTGCTAACAGCATCATCATCATCACTCCTCTCCAAAGGCTTAGATATTTAGCATTGCCTGTACCAAGCCTTGGTCATAAATATTCTTTGAATCTGCAGATTTTTCTAAAGCCATGAGCTCAGAAACTCATCATCATTCAATAAGTGCCCTCCATATTAGGAACTAAGGCTCAAAGAGAAGTATGAGACAAGGTTTTTGCTTGTAAGTCATTTACACTCTAGGTAGAAAACAAAATGTAACTCACACATTAAGTGCTCCAATACCGAGTGGGCTGTTATAAACTCAAGTGCTGTAACTGGCACATGAGCTGACATAATCAGAGGAGACTTCCTGAAGGAGCAGGGACTCGAGCTTTGAGGCTTTGCCAGAAGGTAGGACTTGGAGTACAGGCCTTCCAGGTGAAACCACTGCTGAGGAGTGGGATGCAGGCAAGCCTGGTGGGGAGGAGTGCGACAGGCTGGACCCAAGAGTGGAACAGCGAGAAAGAAAATGTGGGTTTGGTTTGCCTTGAGGAAGTGTCCTTGTAACACAGAGAACAGATCATTTTTATTTAACGCAGTCAGCCCTAAGTCACAAACTGTGTCATTTGCAGAATTGTCGTTTCGATCACTACTCTCTTGAAAACATTTGGAAATGGTTTCATTCAGCCTTTCAGAGTAAAAATTCTTCTGTCACTTTGGCACAGTGAGGAACACACAGCGGAAACATCTTCTTGCAGCCCATCAGATCATCCACAGGCACACGGAAACCATGGTCCAGAAGAGGTTAACTGAGGGCCAGCAAGAGGAGGCCTCAGACACGGACATGTTGCTTGAGAAAGAAACTCCAGATGAGGAAAGCGGCTAAGGTGAGCTTGATTTTTCACCTGGAAGGAAGTAGAGAGAAGAAAGGCAGCAAGGTTCCGCTCTGTGCTGTGCTCCAACAACCTTAATGTGAAAAGTGTGTTACTTAAGAAAATGAAGGACTTTCATTTAAATTGGCACATTTCTGGCATCTGTTTTGAAATTATTAGAGAATTGGAGTTGATATCACAATTGGACTCTTGTGTTCAGGAAACAGAACCCTGAATTATTTTTATTGGTTATTTTAGCATCACAAATAAAGCTACAGCATGTGTCAGTGTTATATATTTTAAAAGCTTGTTCTTACGGAAGCAGGCCCTAATGCCCTAATGCACTGTGTTGGTTGTCAACACAGCATGGGACAGAGAGCCTGCCCAATGCTAGCTCAGTGCCTTCTACAATGCCCACGAGGGGTTGGTTTTAGGCTCAGCTAAACATTTGTATTTGTGAAACTGACATAGGCCACATTTGGCATTACATGGACCTAGATGTATTTAGAAAGATGTAAGACAGGAAACACATCTTTCAGCAAGGTAACATTGGACGTTTCTCTTTCTGTAGGAGCCCTTGCCATATCCCCACAGAAGAACTCATAGCTATTTTCTTTGGCCTCTCGTTTACACAATTTAGATGAAAAGAGATTCACCTTGGGTGGGTACAGGAGCTGCCCTGGCTTAAAAGCCTCACTCCCCAGCGACCAGAATCTCTTGTAATAATTCCACAGGCATAGCTTCCAGCATCTCCACAAGGGATTTACCCAGTTACAAAAGTCAACATACTCACAGAAATTCAAAGCTAGAGTTTCCTATCAAGTATTAATTTTTCCCAGATGCAATTTACCAATCAAGTGTCATATTTACCCTAAGTAGTTAAAGTTGCTTAGTAACATAGTTGACACATATGACCTTATCAGGTTACTAGGAAAACAGAGCTAGAAAGTCAAGTGAAAGTAAAATTCTTATGAGGAGGAGAAATGGAGTGAACCTTCAGAGTGAACGGAGTATACCATCTCCCTCAGCCCTTCCATGGTAGAGGCACATCTTCCACTATTTTGCCCTGAGTATGTGCTAACTCTCAGGTTGGGGAAAGTACCAAGGGGAGAAATTTTAGCTTGGCATTTAGAAGGTTTGGGTCTTGGCCAGCTCTGCCACTAACTATATAATCATATACAAATAATTTCCCTTCACTTGAGGTTTGCCCAGGTACATGTTTCCAAGACACCCTCTGCAGGGGAATCTTTTGAATCTTAAGTCCCAACCGAGGGGATCATGGAAGGAATGGGACGTTAAGAGAGCAGAAAGAAAATTGATAAATGACTCCTGCATGTCAAGTTGTAGTTGTAAATTACAGTAGAAAAGTTCCTGACTTTAATTAATAATGAAATAACCTCTAAAATAATTTAAAAGATAAGCTGTATATTTACATGTAATATTATATATTACTTATAAAATATAAACTCAAGAAGCAAAGCATTTTAGCTATTTTATTATTGTGATAAAAGTAAGCCTTAGGGTTGAGGTAGTCATTTTTCTTTTTTTGTAAACTTTTAATTTTTTTATTTTAAAGATGTGGGGTACAATTCAGGGTAGGTATACAAATGTTCATTATGCAGGTACCCTTGTTGATGAGGTGAACCCTCCTTCCCCAGGCAGGCAAATCTAATAATATTAACAATTTACACAGTTTGAATTAAATATATCTGCATTTACTTCTGATTATGATACCTACTCTATGACATCCATGGTGACCTGGGAAATCAAGTCGAGGATTACAAAAAGCATCTTCTGTTTTATCCTTAGTGAAAATAAAATACATTTCATTAAAATCTATTCAAAACATATATGATAATTATGAAATTTAGATGCCAAAAAAAAGTCTTGTTTTCAGGCTAACTACAGACACTCAACAAAGATGATCAACCAATAAATTAAATGGTTAGAACATAATATTTAGTTGCCCCCAAAGTGTATCTTCCCTCCTCCTTTTTGCAGAGGGAAGAAGGGAAGGACAGGTGTGAGATTATTTAATAATGTATAGGGAAAGAGGCAGTAGGCATGAACTACTGATTTAAAAATACTTATTTTGTTTGTTTGTTTTTTGGGAGTTTTTTGTTTTTGTTTTTATGTTTTGTTTTGTTTTGTTTGAGTTGGAGTCTCGCTCTGTTGCCCAGACTGGAGTGCAGTGGCCACTCCCGGCTACTGCAGCCTCGACCTGCTGGGCTCTGGTGATCCCTCCGCCTCAGCCTTCCAAGTAGCTGGAACTACAGGCACGCACGACCACACCCGGCTAATTTTTTTGATTTATTGTAGAGGTGAGGTCTCACCAAGTTGCCCAGGCGGGTCTCAAACCCACAGGCTCAGGCAATCCACTCACCTCAGCCTCCCAAAGCGTGGGATTACAGGCTGAGCCACTGAGTAATCATATTGAAGACAATGGAGAGTTAATACAATAGTGAAAAATGTCTGGGCCAAAATCTAGGAGAAGACAGAAATTTAGAGAGTGGAGTCTGACATTTGGAGCTACTCTTTTCCGGGGGGAATATGGCAATTCTAAAAAAAATGACTGAAAAGATAAACAGTGCTTTTCAAAACTAGAAGGACAAAAAACTGGAGTCAAACTTGAGTCGCTGATAAACCCCCTCCATTTAAGTAGGGACTCTAAAAGGTTGTGGCCTAGTAGTAAGGGTTAACTGGAAGTAAGCCATCTCTGGCAAGTAATACAAGTTAGCTTCTAATCATTTGAGTGATCTAGAAATTCTCAGTCCCCAAAATTGAATTAAGGACATCTTTGATTCCATTGCCTCAAAGAACCTATCAGAAATAAAACTTAATTTATCTTTAGTGAAAGTTAACATCATTCTAGATCTGTTTATTTTCATAAACAATTTTTTCATATACAATTTCTACAACACAGTCAAGAATACTGAGGTACATGAGGAAACATGACAACTTAAATAAGCAGCAGCAAAAACAACAGTGATAAAAACAGAATTTAAAAGATCTAAAATATTGGAATTGTTAGACATAAACTTCAAAATAACTATGGAAACGACTATGGATTTCTAACCTCCAGAATTGTGAGACAATAAATTTCTGTTGTTTGCACCAACCAGTCTATGGTATTTTGTTATGGCAGCCCCAGTTGACTAAGACACATTTTGGTACCAGGGGTGGGATACCCTACTGTAGCAAATACCTACATATGTGGAAATGACTTTGCAAATGGGTTATGTGTAGAGACTGGAAGAGTTTTGAGGTATATGCTATACCCATGGATATTAAGGGTGATTATGGTAAGGTCTCAGATGGAAATGTGGAATATGTCATTAGAAACTAGAGGAAAGTTAACTTCCTTGTTAAAAAGTGGCAAAGAACTTGACCAAACTGTGTTCTAGTGTTTAATGGAAAGTAGAACTTAAAAGCAATGAGCACAGATATTTAGCCAAGGCTATTTCTAAGTAAAGTAGTGGCTTGGTTCCTTCTGATTTATAGTAAAATGCAAAAGACAAGAGTTGAGCTGAAGAAGGAATTGTTAGCAAAAATAAACCAGAATTGGAAGATTTGAAAAATTCTCAGCCTATTCACATTGAAAAAATGAGAAAGCTTGTTCTGATGAGCTTCTGATGTGGTGAAAAGACATTTGATAAAGAGTTTATGGGATTATATGAGCTGGAATGCTGCCTATTTGAACTGAAGGGGACAGAGACAGGATAAAATTAAGGAAACCTATTGGACTTCTTAAATTTGTCAGGATGGAACAATAGGGCTATACAACTGCATACATGCATTATTCTTCAAGAAGAAGGTGAAATGATCCCAAAGGAGATCTAGAGATCATCAGGACCATTACCTCAGTTTCAAAAGACCACACAACTTCCACCAAGAAGAGCCTTGCAGACAGGACCATCTGGTGAACCTCGGTTCAGCAGAGCTACAGGATAGGACCCTGGCTCAGTAGAGTCATAATGGCAGGACTTTTCCCTAGAGTCATGGGATTGGGGCATTGTAGAGTCAAAAGATCAGGGCCAACCTATAGAGCTGTGGGAATGCTGCTGCTACCCCAGTGGGCCTAGAAAGCAGGACACTGAGCCAAAGAGGATTACTCTTAGTAATTAAGATCCAGTAGAATTTTGGACTTGCTTGGGACCTATCACCTCTTTCTTCCTTCTGAGTTCTCTCTTTTGGAATGGAAATATTTCTTCTATGCCTGTGCCAGCATTGTATTTTGAAAGCACATATAACTTGGCTAGTTTCATAGGCTCATACCTAGAGAGAAATTTGGCATCAAGATGAGCTGTATCTTGAGTCTCACTCATATCTCATTTAGATGATATTTAAATAAGACTGTGAACCTTAGATGGATGTAGGAATGGGTTACAACTTTTGGTATTGTCGGTATGGAATAAGTGTATTTTGCATGCAAAAACATGAATTTTATTTTATTTTTTTAAGTTTTATTTTTAGTTGGAGTTTCACTCCTTCACCCAGGCTGGAGTACAGTGGCATGAATACTCATGGCCACCCCAGTGTCGACCTGCTGGGCTCCAGTGATCTTTCCACCTCAGTCTTCCTAGTAGCCAGAACTACAGATGCATGCTACCCCACCCGGCTATTTTGATTTTTAGAGATGAGGTCTCACCAAGTTGCCTGGGCTGGTCTCAAACCTGCAGGCTCAGGCAATCCACTCACCTTGGCCTCCCAAAGTGCTGCATTTACCAGCTGAGCCACCGAACCTGGTCAAAAAAATATGGATTTTAAAGGATATAGGGTACAACACTATGGATTGAATTGTGTTCCTCCATAAATCATTTGTTGAAGATGGTATTTGGAGATTGGACCTTCGTAAGGTAATTAGGTTTAGATAAGATCATGAGGACAGGACTCTTATGAGGGATTGGTATTCTTCTTTCTTCCTATTTCCCTCTCCTTCTCTCCTCTGCCTTCCATGTGAAGACATAGTAAAAGGTGGCCATCTACAAGCCAGGAAGAGAACCCTCAACTAAAAACTGACCATACTGACACCTTGATCTTAGATTTCTAGCATCCAAAACTGTGAGAAAATAAGTTTCTGTTATTTGAATTATTCAGTCTACAGTATTTTGTTATGACAGTCCAAGCTGATTAAGACACTCTGTTCAAATGAATGAATGTTAGAATCGAAATTTTCAAAAAATCTAGAAACATTAAAGATTTAGAAAGGGAGAAAGATTGAATAGGCATAGATCATTGATTTAAGATATTTGCTAAAGGAAGTTGTAACATATTGGGATATCAAACAATATGC